GTCCATGTCATTTACAGCTAACTCTTCTGTGATTCAAGACTAAAAGGTATGGGATCTTTTGGAGATTATTGTCAGTGATCCTGAGGGAGTTGAGAGTGCAGTAGTGCAATCGGTCTAGGGGAAACAAAATCAGCAACAATGCCCTAAGATTATTCCTATAGCTAGATGGTCTTGGCAGTTCTCTTGGTCAACCTGTTCTTTGGCATTCTTACCAATGCTTTGAGTGACCTAATACCTTTCTGATTAATTCCTTTTTGTCAAGTTAACCAATATTGCTTTCTTTATTTGCAAACAAGAACCTTTTATTTATACTGATGTCCCGAGAAAAGATTTAACCATTTTAGAAAAGTTTTAGTTTGAGTAAAAAGTTGCAAAATAGGATTGACTGCTACCACTGCAAACAGGTATAGAAATAGGGAAGGAACTCTAGAGTAGGCAATAAGATCTTGCAGAGGAAAAAAACAAAACCACAGCCAGACTTGCTCAGAGAACAAGTCTGGCATCACATGGCTACTGTTCAGGACTAGTAAAGCATCCTTTAATTAAAATAAACAACACTCCCAAATGTCATTCTTATCACATAATAAAGACAAGCAGGAATATCTTATTAAAAGTACCTCAGAGGCTCACTAAATTACACAGTAATAAGGTTTTGAGAAAATTAAACTACAGAACTATAAGCTTAATGGCCTTCTAAGACTCCAGGTGGCACAGAGCTCTGACCCATATAATTGAAGTGGCCTTTTATTAAAATTATGAGACTAAGTTCCTACAGGGGACAAGAAATAGCCTGTGAAGAAATAACATTTATTCTTTGAATAGCACAATATGAATGCTGGAGCAAGATTGCATCAGGAAAAGGTAAATGATTACCTCCCCAGGTTCAAAATCTCTGAAAGGTCTCAACTGCTAAATGCTGACATGACAGATCCAGGTGCACCAAGCCACTCAATACCCTGTATGCAGAGGAAGGAAAACCTCTCACCACATATCTGTGTAGCCTGCTGTGCCAAATCTTGTTTGGGCAGGTTGGATGTCTACACCTTGTTATCTAAGAGACTTAAACAAGTAATAAGAAGGAAAGAAGGACAAAAAAGATTATTCCAAAAATAGTAACAGAATCAGTAGATTAGTAAGAGGATCAAGGAAAGATAGTCAATGCTTCTTTCCTTTCTCCAAAACTAAAGTGGGCTCAATATTTGAGAAAGGCTGGACTGAGAACTATGAAAATTGAAGGCATAAAACGGAAGAATAAGTATAACCATGGTTGGTTCATCTATGGGGTCCTGCCGTCAGTGTAGAGTTTGATACAAGGCTCAAAAATGACACAAATGAAGCCAACCCTTCATTACAACAACTAATTCATTTCACATAATCCCCTCCTCAAATTCCATATTGTCAAAGTTAGAGACTTTTAAGTATAACTGTTACGGCACTCACCTAGAAATAAAAGACATCAACTACCTCATTGCAATTCTTGGCCAACTGGCTAATGATAAAATAGTGAAAACAATATAAAAGAGTTCAAGTAAGCTTTTATGTAGTTCTATAAGAAGGGTATGTCAGTAAAATACCCTCAAGTGAAGTGGTTTAAAAAAAAATCCTTTAAGCCAAAAGGACATTTTATTAATCATTTATCTAGTTAATAGCATACTGAAAAGTATTCTGAATGCCCTGAAAGGCAAAAATGAGAGCACAGTTTTCCGTATGAAACTTTACTGGCACTTATTTACTCAAATTTCTAGAGCAATGAACTGTAATCTTTTTAAAAAGAGGGGAGGTTAATGGGAGATTTTCCCCTAGCCTTGCATATTTCTTAATTTCCTTCCTCTTTTTGTTCCTGCAATTTTTTCTTAATGTTTCAAAGTAATCAAAACGTACTACTGCCTGACCGGTATAGCTCAGTGGTTGAGTGTCAATCCATGAACCAAGAGGTCTCAGGTTCGATTCCCAGTCAGGGGATATGCCCGGATTGCAGGCTCAATCCCCAGTACAGGCGGTAGGCAATCTATGTTTCTCTTTCATCAATGTTTCTATGTTTTTATCTCTCTCCCTTCCTTTCTTTTTAAAAATTCATAAAAACATATTTTTTTTTAAATTACTATTGTGTTTTTCCATAAGATTTGCCCTGGGCTCACAGAACTCGAGGTAGCACCAAAAATAATAATTGAATTATTTTGTTTGTTTAATTAAAGCTAAGTGGGTAAGAATACTAGACACCAAGCATTAAGAGGCTTGATTTCTTGATTTCTACATCTGGTGCCCTTCTCTTCTCAAATTTTCTTCCTGTTGCTAGATTAATGAGATCCTATTTATTGTTAAGATGATCTTAAACACAAAAGAATAGAAAGCAAGGTTATTCTTTTTCATTCTGAGTAGAAACTCCAATAACATACAAAACATAAGCCACTTTAAAGCACACATTTAAAGAGATATCCTGCACACACCAAGACAGCAGTCATTGAATTAGTTTGTACCAGCTCAAGTTGGTACAGAAACAGCACAGAAGAACTAAAGGCTGTGATTTAAGGGCCATGAGACAATTATTCTCTTCTTCCATTAACAATGAAAGAAATGCACTTGTCCTGAGGCACATTCAACAGTGTTCCATGGAAGCTACCCAAAATCATCTCACCAGAACAAAAATCTAAGCTGTTCTAAGCTAGCTATGACAACCTCAGCAGTGCCTCTGTTAAAGCAAACGCTAGGCAAAAGAAGTTAACCTGTACCCAGAATATTGTATTAAATAAAATGTAAATATGACAAGCTATCAGAACAAAGATCTATGGAACTACTGTACAACCAAGATATAGTTGAATAGCATACTGTTTGCCTCCCTATCAAGATAACAAATATTTTTTTTAATCCGCAAAATGGATAACTTGATCAAATTTTAAGTATATGACTGAATTCAAGCATGAACTGGACAATAAAGTGTAGATGAGGCCCTTTACTATAACCCTGGAGAAGGTCAACAGGCACTTTAAGTGTTCTGACTGGCCTTCACCTAAGCTTAAGAAATTCCCAAGCAGGTTAACCCCGAGCAATACCCTTTTAGGAGTTGGATTAGAACCAACATTATTTCAACTACCTCCCCCTTTCAGAAACAGCCAGAAGAGAGGGAAATGGAATGAATACTAGGCCTGGTCATCAACTGGTCTGATCTTTCTGCTCCAGTGGACAGTTAACTACTAAATCCAAACATTTACAGCTTCGATTTCCTATCTAATTTTCCCCTCTAACTCCTGCAAATGGGAGATCTACAGAGACTCCAGGCCATTTCTCCATAAAACACATGGAGTAAGCCAAAGAATATCATCTGCCCCCTAGGCTCCAACACCATTCAACTCCCACCCCCAAACATCTTCCCTCTCTTTTGTACCCAGTAGCCCCTTTCTGGTCTTCCTCCTCTTCCCCAAAGAGATCCAACGGGAATTTCCCCACAAACTTCACCCCTGTAGAACAAGCGTATTTCATCATCAAAAACAAAATGAAAATTCAAACAGCTAATGGATAATTTCTCAATTTAAAAGTTTCCTTTTATTTCTTACACCTGAGATTGCTTCATTACAACAAACGGCCAAGTAGCAAAAGAAATACTAACAAAAACTAGGCAAAATACCAATCATGCTTTGATATCTTAATTGTTTTGTGAATAAGACTATTTGTGGTTATGACTTTAAATTGCATGTATAAAACAGTCATCCTTCCTGCTAGGAAAAGTATTACCAATTCTTAAGGTAAACTTGCAATACCCACAACTCAGTGTTGCACAAATATGCCTGACATCTGGGTGCTACACCTCCAAACAGGTCACAATATTCACGTTAGTTAAGTATTTCCATTTTTAACCAAACTAAAAATGTGAAATAACGGAAGAAATATATGGGATAAATAGACTTGTATGGGATTTACGGCGGTGGGGCCGGCGGGGGGGGGGCCTGTTCTAGGTTCCTGAAATCAGTTTCATAGTTCAAGGGGCACGGTGTATGTGTGGTGGAGAGAGAGAACAGTTTAAGAATATCTGTTAAAAAAAAAAAAAAAATTCAGCCGTAACCGGTTTGGCTCAGTGGATAGAGCATCGGGCTGCGGACTGAAGGGTCCCAGGTTCGATTCCGGTCAAGGGCATGTACCTTGGTGGCGGGCACATCCCCAGTAGGGTGTGTGCAGGAGGCAGCTGATCCATGTTTCTCTCTCATTGATGTTTCTAACTCTCTATCCCTGTCCCTTCCTCTCTGTAAAAAAATCAATAAAATATATTTTTAAAAAAATACAGAGACAATGTAAAGCAAGAGCTGAAGCGAAGGCTTCTCTGGGCTATTACTTGAAAACTACAAGGACTCTGACTTCGAGTCGCAGGTTAACAAATTCAGTCAATGACACGCACTTTCCCCGCGGAGGTTTAACGAAGAGCACAATTTCAGAGCCTAACGAAACAGTACCCTCCAAGTCCCGGTCACAGCGGTAAACACTGACCCAATTCTTATAGGCTGAGGTGTCTGGGCTATGGCTTGTGACAGGAGGGCAAAATCCCTTCCAGCTTCATCCTTCTCAATGAGGAGAGCTCTCCTGGCCCTTCCGACCAAGTCCCATCTGAATGAAGTCACCCTGTGAACTGCACGTCTGTGCCCTTACGTCAGATTTGCAGCTTGTCTTGAATTTGCACCTTTCTGGGTGTGTTAACGATTAGGCGAACGATGGCCGCATGTAAGTGCCGTCAACATCTCATATTATTTGTTGCTCCCCATTCCAAGGCTCTACATTAACCTACACGACCTGCTATTTCCAGCCGGACAAGTCAAATTAACAGAGGAAATTAAAAGCAACAACAACCACAACAACAACAGGGATTGCTAAAACAGGAGCCAGCTCCTGCACCACCGCTTCCAGGACTACCGGGTGCGGCCCCAGGTTCAAGGTCCCGCCCTACCCTCGGGAGCAGTGCCACCCCCCCCCCCCCACTCCCGCCCCGAAAGCAGCGACCTCGCCCCAGGGCCTACCTCTGCAGCTCCTCCTCCTTGATCCGCTCCTCGTCCCAAACGAAGCCCGCAACCGCCGCCATCACGGCCGAGACATGGCCAGCGCGGCCCCGCAGCCGGCGCCACAGGCGGCCCAGGAGGACGAGCCGCGCACTCTCCGAGTAGAGGCGGCCGTAGAGCTGCGCGATCTGCTGCGCGCGGCGCACGCGCAGCCCGTCACGAAGCGGCACTGATTGGCCAGCAGGGCGAGCAGGCCACCGCCCCCGCGGCACCGCGCCAGCCACCACCACCGCTGCCGCCGCGGCCGCGGCTCCCACCAGCCTCCGCGGGAACATGCCACTAGCCGGGCGCCCTGGACAAAGAGGGGAACGAGTCTTCGCGGTCTCGGCGGGCTCCTGCCGACCCTCCTAGTTGGTCAACGCCAAGCCTGTCATGTCTCTCTGCAGCAGCCGCTGAGGAGGGGTCCCCTTTGAGGAGGTGGCCTGTGACCGCTGCAGGCAGCGGACGTGGGCCAGGGATGGGAACCTGGCGGGCAGCCGGCACCGGCCTCCTCAGTGTTCACACGCCGGCTACCGGGGTCGCAGTGCGGAGCGCGCGGGAAGCAGCGAGGCGGACGGCTAGATCCCAGGCATTCCTCACCCGCCACACACGCTGCCCACTTACAACCTACTCGCCTTGCTGCAGCCCGTGCTCTAATTGGGCGCCGCCCGGACTCCTCGCTGCTGATTGGCCGCTCCAAGTGCTCGTGACCGTTCCTTCCCGCCCCTTCGCGCACGCGCCGGGGCCCCTCTCTAGCAAGGTAGGTGGCGCGGCGATGGGAACTAGTCAAGGGCGCCCCAGGAATGACCGTCGGGACCCGCCGTCGCCGCCATTTTCGGGCTGTCCGGTCCCGCCCCGCGGAGGAAGGGGTGTGGCCAGGTGCCTTCGGAATCCGGCTCGGTCCTCCGTGGCCGCACTTAACTAATTTGAGGTTTGGGGGGGGATGGGGACTTGGCTTGCCTCTGTGGAGGCTCCGGGGGTGCCCAAGTAGTGGGGGTGTTCAGTTGCGGTAGTGTGGCCTGGCGGCAGTTGCCATCACGCCATTCTCGACCGCCCCTCTGGCTGCCCCCGACTATCTGGGACGCGGAGACGGTTCCCCGGGGTCGGAGTCTGCACACCCGTCTAATCTTTGCAAGTCAGGGAGGACAGCCTTAGAGCCCCACACTTTTTGGAGAGCCAAGTGGACAGGTGGCCCGGCTATGTCTGGGACAGCGGTAGCCCTTTGGAGTTAGTTGCATATACCCTGGGTAGGGGAGTACCTGCCCCTCTCCTTGTGACCCAACGGTACCAGCTTGAGGGGTGAGCAGGTTCCCTAAAAGCTACTTTGCAGCTCTCATGAAAAGCCTGGCTAAATGACCTCAAAGGGCATTCAATGACTACTCTGTCCCTAACCTCATAAAAATGAAGCTGCTGAGTGTCCAATAGGAAAACATTACACTAAATCGTTCCTGGGTTTTTTTCCACGTGTATTAAGTACCTTGTAGACAAAATATTGAGAAGGACATCTTGATGTTAAAGGGACTGTGCTCACTCCAAGGCAATGCATTAGAAGTTTTTCTCTTTATCTAGTAGAGCAATTTTAGATGTTTTTAATAAAATATGTTTTTCCAAAAAGAGAAAAAGTAAATCATGCTTTACTGGGAGCTGAAATTTATATCTATCCTATCAGACTGTCTGATTTTACTCTGGCCGTTGGTATTGATGTTTATTTTCCCTTGAAAGCAGGTAAGGAGAAATGGATATATAACAGAGTAGTATTTGACACTTTGTTGAGCCAGGCTTTTTCTCAATGATGGTAAGATGGCCAGGTGGGGGCAGTTGGCAGAAAGGTTGAACTTTTCTACTGTCCTGCTTCCCATGATTAAAAGAAGCTTAGCACTTCTGCTTGGTCTTTTTGTTGTGTTCCTGTTTTTAATTTGTTTTGTTTATCAAAATGAGCCCCTCTAATCACTCCATTTTCCTCCATCTCTACTGCCTCTTTTTCTTAGTACATAAACACAATCAAGCCCATCTTCAAATATCTTTGAAAAAAATGAGGCTTTAACACTTCTTCTTTCCAGATACCACCCCCTTCTCTTTTCTTTCACAGCTATGGTTTTGTTTTTAAAAGGATAGCATAAATGTACTTGCTGTCTCAATTTCTGTATCTACCTGTCACTTCTTCCTCCTTAGAATTTTAAAAATTAATATCTTCTATACCATTTTCTCAACCACTTTTTTGTTTAGACCCTAACAGTACTCTCTAGCCTAACCTCCCAATCCATTGTCAATAAACTTGCTTGTGTATTCCAAAACAATATTGAAAAACTTAATTCCCTTTGTATATTTTTAAGTTGATCCAAAGTACTTCATCGTGAGCTCATCTTATTTCAGTTAGGTTCTGCCTATTAGATCACCAAAACATAGAGTCGGAGTAGGCCAAAAAATACCCATAGTAAGACAAGTGGTACAATTCAGAATTGGGGCATGAGTAGGGCCAGGGGGTACTGATAAGCTACACTGCAGATCGCCTAGACATCCATGCCACCTACCATTTTGCACCAACATGTAGGGAGCAGCTCTAGAATTAAGCCTCAGATTGACCTGTGGCAGAGCCACAAACAAGTCCCAGCTTAGAGGGCAGAGCCCCCTTAGCATAATTAAGCTTAACCTTATAGGCTCCCTAGATCCTTCCTGGGTAGCTAATGGGTTGTGGGAGGTGCAGCAAGTGCTGCCAAAACAAGTGAAACAAGAATATTGTAACTATGTTGACCACTAACTTGTTTTTCTCTGACTATAAAATAAAGCCTCAGCTTGCTGGCTGGATCCTTCTCTGTGGCCTCATCCAGGCACAGGAAATCCACCGAGCCCCAGCTATATTCTCTTTGTCTGTCTTTTCTTTAATCCTGTGCACTCCCCACCCCTCCCCAAAATTTACCGACTCCTTGACTGTGCTGGCATGGCACACCAACACCTCTCCCTTAGCTTACACATATGACTGCATAAGACATGGGTCCCTTTATGATCAGCTGACCAAGGAGGGGGGGAAAAAGCAAAGTTTGGTTTACTGTTATGTCCGAATGGTATGTGGGTGCAAGCCAGAAATGAATGATGGCTATACTATAGCTCCACTCTGGGGTGATCTTGAAAGACAGTGGCAAGGGAAATTCTCCCAATGGATAAATTCTCTCATTGGCGTACCTGGTCATTCACTTGGCATGGACAGAAATGTAGCCAAGGTTAGAATATATACGAACTCATGTCACCAGTTGTTGGCTTGGCTGGTTGACCAGGTTCTGGGAGGAGAAAGATTAGAATATCAAAGACGAGGACTGGGTGGATGGACTATGTGGGTGAGAAAGAAATGTGTGGAATCCCTCCAGACAGCAGCTTCATGAAAGAGGCATTGAACAACTAAGTAGAGAGAATGACTTACCAATTAATGTCAGATGCTACTAGCCATCTCATTACTGGCACAATGGGAACATGGAGTAGCCATGGTGGCAGAGATGGGAGCCATACATGGACCCCAGAGCATGGGCTCCATTCACAAAGGCTGAAAGAGATACTGCCATTGCTGAATGTCCAACCTGCCAGCAACAAATTCAGTGCTGCCCCCCTCCCCCCCTCCCAAAATAGCTGTCTTCCTCTAGGAGAGCAACCAGCCACTTAATGACAAGATGACTACATTGGATACTTTCCATCCTGGAAATGGCAGCAATTTATTTTGACTGCAGGTATCACATTCTGGATATGGTTTGCTTTTTCTGCCTGTAGGGCCTCAGCCAGCACCACTATCTTGTGTTTACTGAATGTCTGGCCCATTGGTAGATCCCACATAACATCATATCAGACCAAAGGACCCCTTACACAGCAAAGGAGTCATGACAGTGGGACATTGGATACTTTCCATCCTGGAAATGGCAGCAATTTATTTTGACTGCAGGTATCACATTCTGGATATGGTTTGCTTTTTCTGCCTGTAGGGCCTCAGCCAGCACCACTATCTTGTGTTTACTGAATGTCTGGCCCATTGGTAGATCCCACATAACATCATATCAGACCAAAGGACCCCTTACACAGCAAAGGAGTCATGTCAAAAAGTTTGCCCACCCCTGCACTAGCCCCATCTCATTCTGTACCATCCAGAAGATGCCAGCCTGAGAGAGAAGGAATGGCCTGTGAAGGCATAGCTGGGTTGCCAGCACAGAAATGCTACCATCTAAGGATGGGGCACCATCTTCCAGGACACAGTGTATACCAGCAGTTGACAAACTTTTGGACCTCACAGACCACTAAATTCATAATTTTAAATCCCGTGGACCACTAATATGATTTTTTAAAAAGATAAATACATTTGTAAAATAATGATCTGAGACCTTCCATTTTATTAATATGAAATGCACCTATTTATTATAACAACATTATAAATACTTATTTAATCATAACAAAATCTTCAGAGGTTGCTTAATCGAAACAAATTTATCAAAGTAAGCTTAATTTTTACAAAATAATTGAAGCTTATTTAAGTATTACACATTTTTACAGTGTGATATTTGCTCCTGTTTGTTTGAAATTAAGTTAATGGATTTTTGGCTGCAATGACGTTACTGCAAGACAGAGAGCCATATTTATTTCAAGCCGAGACCAGTTCTGAGTTTTAATTGCTGTGACAGATGAAAATGTTTTTTTGCACAAATATGTTGTTGAAAATTGAATCAAAATTTTCATTGCTTTTTCACTCAGCAATGGGTATTCGCTTTTAATGGAGATCCAAAAATGAAGTCTTGATAAGGATGACTGGAATTTAGCTTTGAGACTGTTGTCAGATGACAGATTGATGAGGCTTTCTTTTTCATTCACACTTAAATTGCTATCTTCAATGTTTGCTGCAGATGGATCTATTATCCATGTATTACCATGTCTGGGATCTTCTTTCTTTGGGTAATAACGACCAAAAGGTTCTGTGAGTGATTGTAAGTGCTGCTGAACAAGGGTTACCAGTACCACCTGCTGGTTGATATCCTTCTCATATATTCATCAAAGTTTGAAAACATTTGCAGATCTTCTTCAGCCAACCGCGTTTGCCACAGTAATATTTTCTTTTGAAAAGCATCCGTTTTACCTCGTAGTGTGAACACATCCTTACATTGTCCTTGCAAGGATATGTTTAGTTCATTTAATAGCGAAAAAATATCTGCCAGGTATGCAAGCTTGGCTACCCACACATCGTCAGAGAAGAGTTCTTGTAATTTTGGATTATTTTGCCGCTGGAAAAATATTTTTACTTCTTCGCGCAGAGCGAACAGTCGGGTTAATATCTTGCCCCTTGACAGCCATCTCACCTCAGTGTGAAGAAGGTGAGTATACTGGAAACCCATTTCTTCACAAAGTGCCTCAAATATTCAAGGATTGAGCTCTTTGTGTCTAATTTCATTTATAATTTTAATAACATCTGATAATACTTCGTGTAATTCTGGGGACATTTTTCCCCCCGCAAGTTGCTCATTATGTATAATGCAGTGTATAGACAAAATGTCTGGGTGACCAACATTTTTCACCTTTG